ACACACACACACACACACACACACACACACACACACACACACATATATATATATAGATAGATAGATAGATAGATAGATAGATAGATAGATAGATAGATAGATAAAAGTGATGTACCAGAATAAATAAAAAGTTACTGCGTTATCCAATTGATCCCGCCAATAATGTTTGCGGTATAAATGTCCCAGGAGCCCGTAAATATTTACTATCCAATGTGTTGATTTTAGCAACGTAATGGCGACTAATATTTACTCAAACATCCTAACATCCCGCAACAAATATGCAACAAACGACTATGCATGTATTAACAAAAGGAGTTACAGGTGTAGACAATTGTAACGAAAGGAAAAAAAATTAAAACAAGTTATAAGAAGAATGTTCTTGTTGTTTGTGTGTGTGTGTGCGCACGCGTGTAGTGGCAACAAGCATGTGTCCTATACACATGTGAGTGTATACGCATGCGTGAGAGAGTGCCAAAGTAAAGGAGGACCAAAGAAGCGAACGCGCCTTGTCGGCAGCGTTCCTATCTACGTGTGACTACATCTGAAAGCCAGAGCTAAAAAGACCAAAAAAAAAAAAGAAAAAAAAAAGCGGGTTAGTGAGAATATATTACCCCTAGCGGGCGCTTTTGGCAAAGCCAAGTGGGATAACCCGCACCCCTGGTCTGATTCTCAGCGTTCTCTGGCAAACTTTAGTCTTGCCTGGAGACTTTATTTCTTTTTATTTTGCTTGTTTGACGGCAAGGGTTCTTTCTTTGTACTTAGTCCCATGAAGGGGTCGTAGGGCCACTGCGCAGCTGATCATCCGACGATATCCCTCCACATCTCTCAGTAGGTATTTAACCATGCGTAGCGTGCCTTGGTCAAAGTAGATGTGGCCGTGGCTCCCCCCTCTCCAGGTCAGATTACAACTCGCCTTGGTCAAGGACCGTTGATTCCTTCTACACTTCGTATGCAAATGAAACTTGTGCAACCTCTTGTGCTTGTACTTTGACATCAATTGTGGCAAGAGCGGCGTGTGTGTCTTGTTATGACATTCTAGGATTTTTTGAGACTTTTGCGGTCTGCTCTTGGGTTGAATTTGAGCCAGATCAGTCCATATTGGCACTTCTTTAAAATGTCTTCCAATTGTAAATTATTTCTTGGAGAGTGGAATGTCTGATTTTTAATTGCTTGGAGATAATTAAAAAAACCCTAGAAAATCCCCAACTTGATAACGATGTTTTAATCATTTGTATCTGATGTAAACGTGATTCGAATTTTATGTAGGCTGGTGGGTATCCTAATTATTTTAATCTCTTTTTGTTTGTGTGTGGTCGTTAATGTTATGGGGTCCTAATTTTTTCTTAAGTAGAAAACTGAATTTATATTAATGAAATCTTGCAAATATAAAGAAATATCCGTTTTTTTACAGAAACGCAACTTTCAAAGAAATAATTTTTGGTCAAATGTCTTTTTTTACATTCTATTATCGATTAATCTCCCTAAATCACGAACGTACAAAATAATTTAAAAACCTTTCTAAATTTTAAGAGAGGATTTACTTTTTATGTATATTCATTGTAAACTGATCCTCCTACTGAAGCCCACTCGTAGAAATATAAAAACGTTAATAATAATAATAATAATAATATGCAAATTTTACGGGAATGAAACTGCAAGAACATCACCCAGACCCGGTTACAGAGATAGAACTTGCAACAATTTTATAAGATTTTGCAATACACACAGAGAGAAGAATCAAAGCTAATCGCCCAGACATCGTGATTTGAGACCACAAGAACAGAATGTGCTTTCCTATTGACATGGCAGTCTTTGTAATGTATCTTTGAAGATCTTGAAAAAACTATCAAAATGCAAGGATCTCGAAGTGGAATTCTAAAACAAATATGGCGCATGAGGACATTAATAATTCCAGTTGTATTTGGCGCCCTCGGATTGATTGGAAACGATTTTGATAAACTCATTGAAGGGATCCCTGGTAGCCCATGCCTTAAAGAAATTCAAAATATTGTACTCACAAGTAAAGTTCACACATTACGAAAAGGTTTATTTATCTGAAATGTGTGTGATCTTATTTTTTAATTTTTACAAAAAATGATCAGTGGAAGATATCATGAAGCCTTAGCTCTCTGATTGGGAACCGGAGGAAATGTGTGTACAAACCAAAAATAATAATAATAATAATAATAATAATAATAATAATGATAATAATACCGCAGACTATAATGTAACTTTGAAGAAAAAAAAATACAAAATACAAGTATATTGAAATGGAAATTTCAAACATATGGCCCATGAAGACATTAATTATTCCAGTTGTGGTTGAGGCAATAGATTTGATTGGAAACGGTTTCGATAGACTCATTGAAGAGGTACCTGGTGGCCCATGACTAAAAGAAATTAAAAAAATATTCTTACAAGGAAAATAGGTGTTCTCTTAGGTTAAATAATGTTCAGTGAAAACGTCATGATGCCATTTCTGACCTTAGGTCTCTGGTTGGGACCCAAAAAAGAAAAGAGTGCACAACAGAAAATAAAGAAAATAATAATAATAATAAAGAGAAAATGTAAGTAAGAATACGCTTTAATATATATATTTTTAACTTTCTTTTTTATAGATACAAGTATTCAAATAAATGCTCTGTTTATAATAAACAGTATTAAATAACATTCACCGGCCTGAATGTCCGAGAAATTTTCATAGAAAATATTCGTCCTTTGACAGTATTCGAACCTGCATCCTATACGGAACAGTCATATACGCTGACGTGCCTTACCGTCTCGGCCACAAAGGAGCGTTCAGTAGGCAAGGTCGAATTTACTGCTTATAAACTTCCAAATATAAAACATTTGGACAGTTATTATACACCCTTTGTCCAGAAAAGAAAGCTCTTGTTCGAACACAAGAAAAATTAAATAAAAAGCTTAAGCGTAGTACCTTGTCTGTCGTTTTTAATGAAACATGCATAAAGGAAGGATTGCTGCCTAAATATACAATATATATATATATATATATATATATATGTGAAAAGAAAAGTGTGTGTATATAAATATAAATATATATATATATATATAATTATATATTATATGCGTGGTACTTATTAGAAAGCGCTCAATTCTTGCATATTGGTGGATCGCAAAAGCGTGAAACCCAGGGTCACACACTCACATCAATCCAACCAATTTTTTAAATTTTTAACTTGAAATGATATGACATTTTGTAAGGTAAGTAATCATCTGCTTTATCACGTGGTAAGAGCATATTTTTGGCCTGTATAGGGAGACAAGCGGTCATAGTCTTAACGACATTATATATGCAGATGACACAGTGTTGATAGCACACAGAGAAAGGAAACTACAAGAACTAAAGGAAAGTAAGAAGAAAGGGTTAAACAAAGAGTTATAAGAATATAGAACGCAGGGTTGTTAGCAAAAGGGGGAGTTCAACATGCCAATTACAAAATGGAGATAGCAAAATCAAACCAGTATAAAAATTTGAATATCTAAAAAGAGAGAGAGAGCGAAAAGAGAAAATCAGAGTCAGAAAATGCAACACCGAAATCCAAAGGTGCATTTGAATAGCGAAAGACGCCTTCCAAAAGCTAAGCAAAGTATTAAGGAACAGAAAACTATCGTTGGAAATAAAAGGAAAGATTACTGAACTGTTGTGTAATACAAGGTTCTCCTATATATGGTCAGGAATGCTGGACAATCTCCCAAATGAAGAGGAGACTTGAGGCAACAGAAATGTAGCTCTACAGAAGGATGCTGGGAATAACTTAGATTGAACACGTGAGCAATGACGAAGATTTAGAGAAAATGGAAACACAAAGGACACTTAACGTTAGAAAGAGACAGTTGAAATTTCTAGGGCAATTACTGAGAAAAGAGGGCTTGGAAAATTTGACACTTACAAGAGATATGAAGGGCAGGAAGGACAGAAGGAAGCATCACATGACCTACCTAACATGCTTGTGTAAATGGCTGACAGAACAGGGATTAAGAGAGAGAGAGCGCGCGCGCGAGAGAGAGACAGATAGAGAGAAAGAGAGAGAGAGCGAAAAGAGAAAATTTATTAAGAGTTACAAAGGACAGGAAATTGTGGAGAGCTATGATCGTCTACATCCTGACTGGAAATTAGGGGGAGCAATGATTACTGTCGCCCTAAAGGGAGGCGATATATAGAAGAAGAAGTGGGGGTTAATTTTCTATGAATTTCCATAGAAAACTAAATATTAGGTTGGTGCAAAAATAATGACGTAATAATGTCGTTTTTTGACGTATTTTTTAACGTCAAAAAACGACATTATTTTTGCACCAACCTAATATAAAACATGATTATATCCATGTCCCGGAGTGCTTATTCGAGAGTAATATATTGATTGTCCTAAGCATAGCCTAGATGTGACACAAAGCCGAAAGTATAGGGCACCCAGTGAAGATCGAACTCACAATTTAGTTGTAACGGGTTTAGCGACACACGCTTGCTAACCATTACACCACGCCGTAATACATACGGATGCAAGAGAGTAAAATATATAAATATATATATATATTACTGTCTTACATCTATATGTATTACGGCGTGGTATTTTAAAGTTTGAAAAAATCATTATTACTTTGAGATGCATTTTTGTAAAAATATCTTTTAGTCTTTTATTTAATTCAGTAAATTATTTTGTATGTCGTCCATTTCTAAAATATTTAATAAAAAGATCAAATGTCCAGATTTTTTAAATATATTGAAAACAAAGATTTCTAACTTTTTCACATGACTATATAATTATATTCACATGCCTATATAATTAAAATCCTATGACTATATAATTACATAAATGATTTCGATATTAAAGAATTTAAGCCTCATTGTTCCTTGCAGACTATTATTGCAGAAAGCAAACACACACACATACAGGCTGCATATAAATATATATAGGGCGTGTGTAAGTCCTTTATATATTTACACTGTCCTATAAGTTCATATATAAGATCTATATATTTCTTTATAATTATTCTTACTTTTATAAACTTTATTTTTAGTGGAGTCAAGGGTTTGAGTTAACATACATCTTCTCGAGATGGACACAGAGGAGTCCCCGGATGATGAATGTAATCATGTCTCCTTCTCGAGGGCATGTCTCCCACGGCCACAAACGTGGATAAGGACACATTCCCATCTATAATACCAATATGATACCGAGTAAAACTTTTTCTTGCAGATTTTGTAACAAAGTGTGTAGATCAGCCAGTGGACTCACTCGACACAATAACACAGCCCGATAATCAGGTACTTGCAGATTATCAACAACATGAAAAATATCCTTAAAAGTTTCGTTTGCGTATTATGAGTCATGGGCGTGTCAAGTGTCGACATCCCCCATGTACAGGATGCGATAGATAAATTATCTTCTAAATAACGCAAATGTGAAAATAACACTGACATCCCATTTTAACAGATATATAACAGTCAAAATGTCCGTTCGGCCAAATGTCCGTTCGACCAAATGTCTCTCGGTCAAATGTCCGTTCGGCCAAATGTCTCTCGGTCAAATGTCCGTTCGGCCAAATGTCGCTCGGTCAAATGCCCGTCGGCCAAATGTCTCTCGGTCAAATGCCTGTCGGTCAAATGTCTCTCGGTCAAATGTCTGTCGGCCAAATTTCTCTCGGTCAAATGTCCGTCGGCCAAATGTCCGTCGGTTAAATGTCCGTTCGGCCAAATGTCCGTCGGTCAAATGTCTCTCGGTCAAATTTCCGTTTGGCCAAATGTCTCTCGGTCAAATGACCGTCGGCCAAATGTCCGTCGGTTAAATGTCCGTTCGGCCAAATGTCCGTCGGTCAAATGTCTCTCGGTCAAATTTCCGTTTGGCCAAATGTCTCTCTGTCAAATGCCCGTCGGTCAAATGTCTCTCGGTCAAATGCCCGTCGGTCAAATGTCTCTCGGTCAAATCCCCGTCGGTCAAATGTCCGTCGGTTAAATGTCCATTCGGCCAAATGTCCGTTCGGCCAAATGTCTCTCGGTCAAATGTCAGTCGGTCAAATGTCCGTCGGTTAAATGTCCGTTCGGCTAAATGTCTCTCTGTCAAATGTCCGTCGGTCAAATGTCCGTCGGTCAAATGTCCGTTCGGCCAAATGTCTCTCGGCCAAATGTCCGTTCGGCCAAATGCCCGTCGGTCAAATGTCCGTCTGTTAAATGTCCGTTCGGCTAAATGTCCGTCGGTCAAATGTCCGTTTGGCCAAATGTCTCTCGGTCAAATGCCCGTCGGTCAAATGTCTCTCGGTCAAATGCTCGTCGGTCAAATGTCTCTCGGTCAAATGCCCGTCGGTCAAATGTCTCTCGGTCAAATGTCCGTTCGGCCAAATGTCTCTCGGTCAAATGCCCGTCGGTCAAATGTCTCTCGGTCAAATGTCCGTTCGGCCAAATGTCTCTCGGTCAAATGTCCGTTCTGTCAAATGTCTGTTAGGCCAAATGTCCGGCCACAGCCTCAATGTCCTGCCGACAATGGCTGTGTTGTTTTCAACAATGTTTGCAGATCATTTGGACTCAGGAAGGGCATAGTGGTAGATAGGAGAGTTGAAGGCCATGCAGATCCAACACTCCAATCAAAGATACAGGACTTATATGTCATATATGCCTGGTGCCAATAAAATCGAATGCTGGTCTTAAGTCATCTTTAGGAGCTATGGAAGCCGAAACGAGAAGGACGCCATAACAAGTGATGTGAAGGGTTAGGGGGAAGACCTCATCTGAGTAACATATGGCAATCAACATACACATATATCTAATGCCAAGAAAATGTATGGGCCATATACCTGCGAACGTTATGCCAGAGCTTTTAAAAAGTAAAACATTTAAAAAGTCATATTCGTTTAAAGCACAAATAAGTGTTACAATCATATCTTGTGATGGTCATATTTAACAACGAGCTGACATCTATCTATCTATCTATCTATCTATCTATCTATCTATCTAGATTTGCCCATCTGCCATATTCTACGATATTTATTTGGCTAAGGTTGTTGTGCATATCTATCTATCTATCTATCTATCTATCTATCTATCTATCTATCTATCTATCTAGATTTGCCCATCTTTCATATTCTACGATATTTGGATAAGGTTGTTGATATTTATTTGGCTAAGCTTGTTGTGCATATTTATCTATCTATCTATCTATCTATCTATCTATCTATCTATCTATCTATCTAGATTTTCCCATCTTTATCATGTCCTATTCTATGATATTTATTTGGTACAATTATGTTGGCTAAGGTTGTGCATATCTATCTATCTATCTATCTATCTATCTATCTATCTATCCTGATTTGCTCATCTCTTGTCACACTGTATGATATTTATTTGGTTCCTGTATGTTGGCTGAGGTAGTTGTGTACGTCTCCCCGGTGCCTGTTGTTAGTGTTTGACACCCGGTAATAACACAGATCTCGAATGCTGACATACTCCGAACCTACGGTATTCTACCGCTGAGTGTATTTTAAAAATCCGCTGTGTCCGACACGCACACAAACGCATGCACGCACGTACGCTCACAAACGCACACACTCGCATATATATATATATATATATATATATATATATATATATATATATTACATTACTGATACATTTATTGAAATTTCACCTCATCAAGCTTTGTAAAACGTGATATAGTCCATTGATTAAGAGGTGTGCTGTTTCGATTTTATAGTCATCAAGCTTTAGTTGCTTTCAATGTAAGGGAATTGGATTTGATATTAGTTTTAATAATTCGGAATGATCATTAACGCATCCATAAGCTTTTAATAAAGTGTATTCGTAAAATAATACGTGATAAAATAAGCATATTTGTCTTCGTGGGGCTCCCATACTTCAACTGGGATTGGGAAAAAAGCAGTCAATACAGAAATAAAGAAAGAAATCGAATGACTGAATTAAATATGGGAACAGAAAATCGAATAAAATCAATAAAAGGTAAAATCAAAAATCTGGAAACGAAGTAAATATAAAAGCGAAGTAAAAAACAACAAAAGAAAAAAAATGAAATAATTTGGACGAGAATAACAACAATCAACGAACTAATATTATTGCCGTCTGTATAGTAATGTTCAGCTCAAATTGCTTCGTAACTAGCTTCAAAATTTATATCGACATTTTTTTGTCAAAATAAAAGTAAAACATTAAAAAGTAATAAATAAACGAATATTACAATGATCAGAAAAGAAAATATAAGAAAATAAATAGATTATAAAAACCAAAAAACAAATGTGTTTTGTTGTTCTTTTCCAATTTGATGACATTTTTTTTTTGCTTGTTTCTCGCAATTGAATAAATCAGACGACCGAGGCTATATCAGCTGCTTTCGACCAGCATTTCTGCACAACTCAGCCGATGTGTTGTTCGTATTGCATAAAGAAAGAGTAAACAGGTTTGTACGGTTGCACACACAGTCGATTAAATATATACACCTGCAATTTTTATTCACTCTCATTAAATGCTGAATGGAGAAAAAACAAAAAGAAAAATCACTTTGGAAAGATAATTAATCCTGTCACAAAGTTTCAATAAGGTGTATTCATAATATAATATATGCTCAGTCTGTGTGTGTGGAAATCTAACAAACAAGAATCTACCTTCAAAGAGAATACAAATATTTGCGCAAAAAAAGCCGTGATTATTAGGAGCGGTATAAACGAGCACGTATAACACAGACGAAAAACAAAGAAACAAAAATCGTAATAATTAAAGTTATCACGCACATGCATAAATGTCTATATAAATATGCATAAATGTCTATATAAATATGCATAAATGTCTATATAAACATGCATAAATTTCTATATAAATATCAGATCATCCGATAGATAATGTTCATATTTAAGACCAGAAAAGAGTAAATGGTTCACATTTATTTAGAATTTATTCATTTCCATAGATTCTGTTATCATTAAATGCCAATCGTTATTTTCAGTCTTCGTATTAATACCCGTTCATTTATTATTCTCAATTTTAATAGTGTTATTTTACACTCATATTCTCTCATTCTCAGTAACCGCTTGCGTGTTAGTGGCTTTATTGCCTTGCTTGGGGTGAAATGATTAAAAAACGTCTTCCAGCGATGTACAAACTTCATAATGGTAGTGGTAAAATTAATGGTAATGGTAAAATTAGTGGTAAGAGTAAAATTAATGGCATTGAAAAAATTAATGATATTGATGAAATCAATGGTAATGGTAAAATTAATAGTATGGATAAATTAACAATAATGGTAAAATTAATGGTATTTATAAAATCAATGGTAATCGTAAATTTAATGGTACTAATAAAATTAACGGTAATGTCAAAATTAATGGTATTGATAAAATTAACGGTAATGTTAAAATTAATGGTAATGATAAAATTCATCTCGGAAATATTCTGTATCCATTCACCGGACACTTTCTTAGGAAATTAAAATTATCAACTCCTCTAAATATTATCAGTTTTTCTAATATTAGTATGGTATTTTCTCCCAATATTAATGGTGAAATTAATGGTAATCGTAAAAATAATGGTAATGTTAAAATTAACGGTAATCGTAAAATTAATGCTATTGATAAAATTAACGGTAATATTAAAACTAATGGTATTGATAAAATTAACTGTTATGGTCCAAGTTCCTTGTAGCACGGTGATGGTCCAAGGTTAGAACAAATGAAAGAATAACACGAACACAGGTATAGAATATAAAGATATATTACAACAGAAATATAATACAAAGAAGTAGAAGTATTAGTAATGACTATCAGATTTGGTTAGAGTGAACTTTCTTGTCGAGACAAGTATCACTATTCCAATGTCCTTACAATATGCTCTCAATTATCTCTCCTCGTCTTACAATATCTCTGATACCTCTTGAGAGGTGCAGTATTTATAATGTCAGGAATAGTCCATTATTATTACTGGTAAGTTTCCATAACATTAACGGTATTGGTAAAATTAATGGTGATGATAAAATTCATCCAGGAAACATTCCGTATCTACTGAACGAACAGTTAGTGTTATTGAAATTTCTAAAATCCTTTTTTAAAAATAGATTCTAAGAAAATTTGATTTCCCAAGTCCACTAGAAGTTATCGCTCTTAGAGGTTCGGAATGAGAAATCAAGGAGCCATGTTCGAATTCCAGTCGGGTTGGTTGTAGAATAACAATACAATAAACGACACTTACCGGCGTAAGAGTTCCAGCTAGCGTCCAGCTGGCAGACAAAAATAAAGCAGGTTGTAACTTAATACAAACCCTGCAAACTAACTGAGAAATTAAGCTGGTATTTATATAGAAATACTTCCACTCAGGTACCAGCAGCCAATCACAGCCCAAGCAATGGACTATCCCACTTTAGCATAATGAGATGCTCCATTGCACCATAAATAACTCTCTTCCTCAATGTTGAATTATTCTTCACTCAGCTTGCTCCACAACTGAGTGTTTATCTTGACCACGTGATTGTTCGACATGGCGCTGTGAACAGGATTTATGACACCTGAAAATTGGGAACTCTTCTTCATTGAAGCAGGCATATCCACCGACTCGGCCAAAACTCATGCAACAAGGTTTGCGGACGAGAAGCTGACAATCGAGACCCTTCAAATGCTGGATCGATCTATGCTTAAGGAGCTGGGAGTCCCATTAATGGGAGAAGCCCTGTGTATCATCAAGCAGGCTAAGGAATCCACCACCCAGACAACCCGCATTCAGGCACTAGCAGCCAAGCCTCCTCATCTCAATCTCGAGATGACACCACAGCAATTCAGGAAGTTCCGAATTGACTGGGATGTCTTTACCAAGATGACAAATATGCCAAACTCCCAAGCTAATATTCACCTATACAATTGTGCTGATGAGGATGTGCAAAACGCCATAATCAACACACACCCTGACTTCTTTACCACTGATCCAGATAATCTACTTGACATGGTAGAAGTGTTGGTAACCCAGAGGTCAAGTCCTATTGTCCATCGCCTTGCTTTTGCCTCCATGTCTCAGGATGCTGATGAGCCAATACAAAGTTACCTTGTCCGCCTCAGAGCCGTAGCCGTTGATTGTAACTTTACCTGCCCCTCGTGTGAACATGACCTGTCTGATATATACATCAAGGACCAGATCATCCGTGGAATAGCAAATGACACACTCCAGGCTGACCTACTGGCCAAAGCTGGGGCACTTAAATCCCTTGAACAAAATATCCGTCATGCTGAGGCATTTGAATCAGCATTGCGGAACCAAACCTCAATGGCCAGTGCTTCAGATACAGCTGCTGCTCGGCTATCAACATACCGCAGACAGAAGGGTACACCACAAGCCAACGAGGCGATCCGTACCAGCACCTATTGCAACTGCAATGTTAAACCAAACCACCAGGCTTGCTTAGCATGGCACCTCAGGAACTGAATCACGCCGGCTAAAATGCCCAGCATGGGGACAAACATGTAGTAATTGTGGGAAGCCCAATCACCTATCGAGGGTATGCCGGGCTAAGAAACCAGCTCAAGCGGTCAGGAAAAGCCTAGAGGCTAATGAAGCCGCCATGGACACACTTATCGCCCACATCACATTCAATCAAACGACAGGCACGTATACATCTAAAGACACAGGCCAGGTAAGGGAAATTGATGCATATGTTGTTCCATTTTCGCCAAAACCGGATCCCAGACAAATTAAGAATATCCCCAGAAATCACAGCACTAGGATAAAGCCCACTCACCACCTTCATCACAGAATGGGGAAGGTTCATGTACCTGAGAATGCCACAAGGTTACCTAGCATCTGGCGATGCTTACACCAGAAGATATGATGAAGTAATAAAAGACATCCCCGCAAAGTAAAAAATCGTGGATGACACCCTACTCTATGACTCTGACATTGAAGGGCCTTTTTCACACCTTCGATTTTCTCCTCCATTGTGCAAAAAACGGCATTGTACTAAATAGAGAAAAATTCCAATTTTGCCAAGACACGGTGCAGTTTGGGGCCTCCAAATAACATCTTCTGGTGTAACCCCTTCTAAATACATGCTGGAGGCACAATATTAAGCTTCCCAATACCAAAAACGCTTACCGATGCCAGATCATGGTTTGGGCTG